GGCCCCCACAGGGAAGAGCGACCATCTCTGGAAATGAGGCCGAGCCCGCAGCCCGGGCTGCAGCTGGCGGAACGGTGCGGGGTCCGCGCTCCTGCGGGCCGGCCGGCTTGTCCGTGGCACCCGGCAGGACGCTCCGTGACCTGCGTGTCCTGTGACCTTCTCCGAAACTTTCCGCTTCGAGAGTCACGGGAGCCGCCTCCCTCCTGGGCGCGTTTTCTGTTCCCGGGAGTTTCACACAGCCATTAGGGGACGAGGCCCGTTTCTGGAGAGCTCCATTTACACTGCTTTCCACGGGGAAAGAGAAGGAGGGACAGGAGGACCGGAGCCCGCTGGACGGCCGCAGGCACGGGGAGCCCTGGGAGCCATCCTCAGCCTGTCCCGTCTCTGTCCCTGTCCCCAGCTGGTAGGCCAGGAGGAATGTGGCTTATGTAATTATTTGTTCGCTGCCCAGGGCCAAAAAGCAAAGGTTACAATTAAAATGCGAAGGAATCCAAGAATTCCGAGGTCCCCGCCTGGGGCCGGCCCACTGCAGCCCCGCCCCGCCCCGCCCGGCCTGCGGCCCAGGTCACCCCGGTGGTGGCACATTTCCTAGGAGGACATTTGATTCCCAGCCATTCCCTTCAGGTGAGTCACTGAAGCTCACACTCCTTTTCTTTCCTTTTTTTTTCTTTTTTTTTTTTTTGGCTCTTAACTGATCTGCTTTACAGTGAGCTGGTTTTGCTTGACTCGGACAAGCTCGATTCCCCAGGGACGGTCTGCAGGGCGGTCAGGCTCCCAGGGCTCCCGCATCCCTCCGTTTGCCAGCAGGACGGGCTCGTCCGCACCTGAGACCTCCGTCGGCTCCGGGAGAGCACAGGGCGGCCGACCAGGTTGCGGCCTTTGCTCATTCTCTGCCCTGGGTCCCCTGCTCAACCCCGTTCTGGAAGGTTCCCTGTTCTCCGCTTTGCTCCTTCAGACCACCCAGCCCGCGCCCCTCAAGTCCCCAGAGCCACCCTTTCTCTTGAGGAAAGGACTGTGCGCCCCAGCCAAACCTGGCCGTCTGCGTCCCACCCCCAGCCCGACCTTGGGCGACCTTGAGCAGCTTCCTCAGAAGCTCAGCCCCCAGCCCTGCGTCCTTGGGTGTGTGCGGGGCTGAGCTAACACTGTGTGGAAAAACCCACCGACGGCAGCGGGAGCAGCCGCGTTTGTGCAGATGGAGCGGCGTGGGTCTGGGCGGCCGCGGCCTCACGCAGCCACGCCGGGCCCACCCGCGGGGACCAGGCTCAGGAAGGGCAGAGCTCCCCGTAGCTCTGGACGGGCCGGCCGGGTGGCCATGCTGCTAACCGCGGTGGCGTCCTTCATTTAGAAACTAGGACACGGTCTGGGAATAGCGGCTCAACGAGGCCCAGACAGGTGCGATCTGCTCAGGACAGTCCGGAGCACCCGGTGGCCCAGTCCCTGGACGCCGAGCTGCGGGTGGCGGGTAGGCGGGCGCTCAGCGGTGACATGTCACGTGGCTGTGGGCCCCGGGCCCCAGCGGTCTCTCCATGGCGCGGCCGCTTTACTTCCAGTTCCGGCCCCCCAGCTCCACACCCCCCCCATTCTCAACTCTCCCCTCCACGGTCATGGTTAAACGCCTTCTCTGACCCACCCGCCCGGCCTCACGTCCGCACCTGTCCGCAGGGCCCCCCCCCCTGCATGGGTGGGCCCACACCCTCATCAAGGTCCGCTGTCCCAGTGAGCCTCCTGTTCTCGCGTGCCCCCGAGCCACCCCGGACGTCCCTCCCCTGACTCCGTCCATGCCGTCCTTCGGGTCCCCGTCGTCACTCTCCTGGGGCGGCCCCTCCTGTCTCTTGGGAACGGGCGTCATCGCCCCCCCCCACCCCTGCTCTGTCTCAGATCCTCCCCACGCTGCTGCCTGGACAAGCTCCACACAGCGGTCGTGGCCTCGGCCGCACACTGCAGTAGCCCGAGGAGCCGTCGGAAATCCCGGCACTGGCCCCACGCCCCACGAGAGACCGTGCTGCAGATGCTCTGGCAGGGGCCTCGAGGGACCTCTGGAAAGCTCCCAGGTGGTGATGTGCACCTGGGATTGTTCTAAAATGGCGACCTGATCGTGTCACTAGCTCCTTAAATCTTTTAGGTAGAGCCCCCTTTGTCGGAAGTTCAACATCAGAAACATCCGGAACCAGTCCGCACATTCGCACCTGGGCATTAACACATTCAGCCCACGGCACTATGTAGGAGCTGCAGGTGTATGTAACACGTTATATGCATAACAGTACCCATGGTTGCTTTCCTCCTGGATGTATGACAGATGGATCCTTGGACCCACCTTCATCTAGGCACCCAGCTTCCTCTCTCACCTTCCCTGTCCTTCTCCAGACAACCCCACCCCTCACACACACACACACACACACAGACCAGGTCACTGTCATCTAAATGGAACTTCTTGAACTCAGTTGGGTTTGGGTCAGTTACTCTTTTGTGTACCTGTATTTTCTCGGCCTGACTCCCACCTGCTTGAGGGCAGTTTCTTGAGCTCAGGTAGTGCTCAGACTACCTGGATGAGTGAGGCGGCTGCTGGAGCCCCGTGTCCTCGTTTGTGTAGTGACGCATCGGGCTGCCGATCCACTGCGTTCCTCCGGCTCTGAGCTTGCGTTTGCTCTTAATAATCGATTCTGCAACGCTTCACCGTTGGAAAGTGACTACAAACGGTGAGTTAGGTCTCTGGCTACTAATAATCTACAAAACATGGCAACAAATCCGCTAGGTCAGGGCAGAGGGAGCGGAGGCTTCTTGAGATTCTATAGTCATTTTGTCAGTTGAAGAGTTTTATGGAAAACTCATGAGTATTTTCAGTATTTAAGTAAAATCACCCTGTGCTTACGTGTAGGGCGGCGCCTGGAAAATTAAAGAACTTGTCTGATGTGTCATAAGAAAGCAGCTATTTATATAATTTCCAAGAATAACATTTTTCACCTACAGATTTTATTTCCACTGATTTACAAACTGGTGCTAAGTCGGGATCTGAGTCCCTCTCAGAAATACCCTCTGTGCCTCTCCAAACGAACACCTGGGAACGCGCACGGGGGACGCGGTGGAATTTTACCTCATCTGCTGTGGTTCTCGGCTCACACGTCGTCTGCACGGCGGTTTTGCCTTTAACGACAAACGGACGACTTAGGAGTTAACTCTTAAGTTAACGTGGAAAATTTTAATTTCAGGTTCAGTGGCAGGTCAGAAGGCCCCGTTTCCTTCTATTTGTCGCCCAATTCTCTCATGGAAAATTGTCAGCTTCTGGCGTGGAAATAATTTTCTTGAAGGCGAGATTTGTTGAGTGACGGACGGCATGAAAAAAAAAAAAACACACGCCGGTTGCATAAGTGTGAAAAAAAGATCTGGTGTTTCCGTTGGCTACACGTTCGGCGTGAGCCAACAGCAGCGCGGCGTGGATGGCGGAGCACGTTAACAAAAGGGCAGTGTCCCAAATTTAGGAGGCGAGCGTCTGGCCGTGCCCCGTGGGGACGGAGCTGTGGGGAGCGGAGCGTGGAGGTCGAGGCACATTTTCAAGGGGCCACAGTGGGCTGGAGTTTGCGGAGTCACCACGAGGGTAGAGAGTTAGGGCCGTGCCAGGAGCGGGGGACACTGGGCACACTGGGCCGGCTGGTAAGCGCCGTGACAGCCGTCCTCGAGTGTGTGAGGTCCCGCGATGAGGAAAGGGGATGTGGGCTTCCTCTTCCGGCTGCGGAACCCCGAATGGTGTGAAGTTAGGGGGAGGCGGAGTTTGGATCGGCGTGGGGAAGAATTCCACACACAGCGAGAGCAATCTAAAGATGGAGTTCGTTGTTGAGGGGTCTGTCGGTGCCTGAGCCTGGACGCGTTTGAGCCACGGTGGGGTGGCCGTCGGTAGTGGTCCCTCTCCGAGAGGAGGTGCTGGCGCTCACTAGCAGCTGAGCTTCCTGGCCGCTAAGCGTGTCTGACGATGAGCGTCTCATAAATTAACAGGGCTCGTGGTTTCAGAGAAGCTGTTTTATTTACGTTAAGGCCGAGAGCTTGGACTTCATGGTGACGCCGTTAAACAGACCCACCTTGTCTTCCGCAGAAGCTGAAGAAATCCCCAAGAGTTTGGGTTAGAATAAAACCAAAATTTGAGAGAAAGACGATGTGTGTGGTGGGTGTGGTTATTATTAGACTTCACTTGGCTCTGACACTTGTGTGCAAAATGCAGTTTTACCAGCTCTCTTCAGTGGTTGGGTCAAGTCGCCGAATGTGACGTCGCGGGTACAGGATTGCCTGACACATGGTGAGGGGGCACCATGATGTTCTCGCGGTCCACGCCCTGCGGGCTGCCAGTTGGGTAGCTGAGTGGAGCTGCTCACATCCGTGCCAGGCTGGAAGGTGGCCTCCCGCCTCGGCCCTGGAGCCGGACCTCTGTCCTGTGGGCAGCAGGACCTGGCCAAGGGTGTGCGGTGCAACATGACATCACAGCACTGAAGTCCGTTTCACCAGAGAAGAGTGTTCTTTTAAAATACTTCGTCGAAGTTGTTTAAAAAGTGGTAGTTTTGTTATTACCGAATCAAAAGCTGCAGGATCTTAAACACCCTCAGTTAAGAATTGAACTGGGCAAATGTTGATTTTGTAAGCTAAAGAAAACACAATATGTGTCTGGAAGGCTCTAGCGAAAAAACAGAAAGAAAAAAGAAAGAATAAGGTGTTCAGTGATGGAAAGGCTGACATTAATCATAATGTTAGCTTTTCCCGTTCCTGCTGGGCTGCGTTTCAGATTTGTGGGTGGACATGGCAGTCACATGAGCACTAACAGACAGACTGAATGGAACAAAGGGTTTAAAATGCCACCTGAGAAAAGCTAGGGTACGAGGCTCCCAGCCACAGAGCAGGAAGTAAGTTCTCGCTGGTGTCATTGTCTCCTCTGTGCCAGGGGGTGTTTGTCCAAGAGGGGAGCGTCCGGGTGAAGGAACCTCTTCTTCTGCTAATTCATAGTTTTTTTAGGAGCACTAACAGACAGACTGAATGGAACAAAGGGTTTAAAATGCCACCTGAGAAAAGATAGGGTACGAGGCTCCCAGCCACAGAGCAGGAAGTAAGTTCTCGCTGGTGTCATTGTCTCCTCTGTGCCAGGGGGTGTTTGTCCAAGAGGGGAGCGTCCGGGTGAAGGAACCTCTTCTTCTGCTAATTCATAGTTTTTTTAGGTTTTTTCTTTTTTCTCTTTTCTTTTTTTTTTTTTTTGAGCAGTTTTTGCTTTACAGAAAAATCGAGCAGAGCACAGAGTGCCCATGAACCCACGCTTCTGCCTCCCCCCGACTCCGGCCCCCCGTTTATTAACGCCCCGCATTGGTGCGGTGCATGAGCAAGGCACCAATCAACGAGTTATGATTAAATGAGTCGCGGTCCGCCCTTGGTGCTGTGCGTTGTCTGGGTGTCGACCAACATGCGACCCGCCATGTGTACCCACCGCTGTGGCAGGATCAGGCAGAGTAGGGTCACGGCCCTAAACACCCCGCGATCCCCCTGCTCGTTCCTGCCTGCCTCGGACCGCCGGCCAGCACTGGCCTCTTACTAAATGTGTTTATTTATTGTTACGCCCCGCGCTCCTGTGTGCTCACCATATTGTGATAGCGTGAAGCTGCCCCGTCTGCACTAGATGCTCCAGACATATTTGTTGAATAAATATTTGCATGGCTGCATGAACAATCAGTTTTGCAAGATTCCTTATCCAGCACATCATCATTACGAGAAGACAGTTTCGTACAGAGATGTGCTGAGTGGGCACTGGACGTATTCTTGACCCAGATACCATCTGGGTGGAAGCTGAGCCGGAGACTCGGAGGCCAGTGCTCGCGCGAGGCACAGCCGGGCCTCGGGCGGCGGGGAGGACCTGGGGGCGTGTGTTGGCTCTGTGCTGACGGCCTTAGAGGGTCACAGGCTCACCTGTGTTCCCCACCTGAGCAAAACACACAGGTGCTTCTGAGTGAGGCTTGCAGGGGGACCTTCCCCAAAAGAGCAGCATAACTCTAATTTATTTCTGTTGTTCTAAGTTTTCTTACCTCTCCACGTGAGCAGTTCTATGTACTTTTAATCACGGGATTGTCGTTTAAACCTATTTGATTTTATTTCTTCAAATTAGCGTGTTCTAGTTTGTTCAGCTACTCTTCTCTTGGGCCAGTTTGTGTGGTTTCCTGATATTTCTGTTTTCTAAATTATTTTTCTCGTTCGGGTGACTTCCTTGGGGCATCGTTCAAGGAGTGAAATTACTGCAGTCTCACGGTGAAATTTTTAAATTTCATGGTGATTTTTCAAAGTCCCATGCTCTGCTAGGAAAGGGTAATAAGGCAAAAACAAAAAAACAAAAAAAACTTTTTACATTGACCTTTTCTCAGTGTCTTTTCCATCCATCGTTGCACGGGGAGCGCCGGGTTATTCTGAGAATGCGCAGTCATCGGAAGGTCCCTTCGTAAGTGCGGCCGCAGTGGGTTTCTTGTTATTTCGCCTCCATTGCAGAAAAACATCTTATAACCGCTCTCCCTGTGTTTTGGGAGCCTGCGTGGTTGCGGGCAGGAGGCCGACTGTCTGTCTGAGAGACACCGTGCTTTAGATGGGGGGGGCTTGTCCCCAGTGTGACGACACGGTTTGCTCTGTGGAGTCGGCGAGCGGGCCTGCGGAACTCTGGCTGCTGTGTGGCCTGGAGACGGAGCCTGGGCTTTGCAGCCTGAGACTCGGTTCGGTCCCAGCACCGCCTGTTAGCAGCTGTGTCACCACGTGAGCCTTGCAAACGACGTGCCCGCTTTAGTGGCACAGGGTGGGAGCTCAGCACATTATCGCTGTTTTCAATTCCTTGCACGGACGTGGCCAGATCTTCTCTATTTGAACTTCTGGCATCCATCGGTGTTCAGAGTGACCCCTGCGAAGGTTACTCTGTGTCGGGAGATGCTCCTTGTGCTGTTTAAAGGAGACACGAGCCACAGCCCGGGCGCCAGGCGCCGCGCTGGACCACGCGCGATGCCCCCGCGGTGTGCGGGTGCCTCGAGCAGCAGCGCGCCCCGCTGCGAGGCACTCGCACTGAGCCCGGTGGGCGTTTCCTGGTGTACCGAGCAGGCTGCTTGGTGATGGATGGGGAGGTCTCACGTGTGGGTGAGGATTCCGCCTCTCGTGTAGGCTGCGTGTCGTGGGGTGGCTCCCAGGTCCCAGGCTGGGACGGGCTACGAGGCCTTGACACGCTGGCCCACCCGCAAAAGGGAGAGCAGTTGTCCAAGCAAGGGTGGCTTGGCTTCCCGCTCCCCTCGGCTGCGTCCAGTTAGCCGCACACACACGACCCGGACCGTGTCTTTATCGGTGCTGTTCTCCACGTGAAACCGCAGAGGGAAGGTGACAAGGGCTGTGCTTCTGCGACAGGGCCTTCCCTCCGTACCAGCGCGTGCTCTGGATGAGCACTGGCTTCCACGGACGAGGGTCTCAGAGGATGTCGTATATAAATCACTATGTAAACATAAACGCCTCTCTGTGTGAAACTTCTCTTTCCATATGTGGATTTCTGGAACCGAGGCAGACGGAACTTAGCCAAGAGACCGAGAAAGGTAGACGCGCTACGACCGAATCTCCCTCACCTTCTAGGCAGTTTATAACTCGAGAGACATATTAGATGCAGCACCCGAGAAGCGACTCTGTTTAAGCATAGCAAACACCGAAGTCGCTAAGCGGGTCGCGCTGTTGTTGGCTTGGACTGACCGTTCCTCAGATCGAGCAGGCCCGGTGCTCACGGTCGTTCTCAGCCGGGCTGGGGCCAGGGGCATCTCGTTGCCCAGTGTTGTAGGTTCTGACCTCAGGCCCAGAGAACTCAGAACCTGGAGGAGGAACGAAAAGGCCCCCGAGAGCCGGGAGTGGAAGTATGCTGGGAGATAAGGGACGGTATGACATCTAGCCTTGGGGGACAGGAGCCCAGGGGCTAGAGGTTAGAAGTGGACCGATGGGGCAGGGAGGAGGGTAGAACTGAGCTCATCCCCAGCACCGCCCACTCCCAAGACGGTGGTAGAGAAGGACACGTCACTTCTGAATTAGAACATGACAGGGTGTTGGGGTCTGTCACCTGTCACATTGGTGGTCCTCTGAGCGAGAAGCAGTTCTGCCTTCAAAAGCATGTGGACTGAAGCAGGAGTAACACATGGACGCGAAGGGGTGGAATAGAGGAGAAGTGGAGGGCTCCGCACCCCAAGAACCCCTTTCTTAACCTTTAATAAAGACCGTAGCCCTAGAAGGCACCTTAGTTGGCGAGTGAATGCGCTGCATTATTGCCGTCTCATCGTGAACCCAGACTTCTCTTTTCTTCGCTCCAACGTGAAGACGAATGGGATACTGTACCTAAAATAATGTAAACGCTTCAGTGAGATTTAATGAAATGAAAAGAGTCATCCATTGGGGGGGGGAAATCGTAACCCTAGACATATTTCACAAATAATTAATTGCTGATCGTTTTTACGTGACACCTATTGCTCGAAGGAACATACGTTTTCTCTCCCACCGGGGCTCGTTTGCATGGAAGCGCGTGCGTGGGTTTCTGAGTATCATCTCGGGGGGCCCGTTTCCCTTACGATTGTGCCGTTTGGGTCACATCCGATAGGCAGGCAAACAGCCGTGGGTTACTGCGCACCCGCGTGGCAGTGAGGGGTGCTCTGAATTCCCACTCACCTCCTTTTCTTCCCAGTTCTTTGGCAACATCAGAAACTGACTTGTGGCGTCTTCGAAAAGCCGCTTAAAACGTGATGCTCTGCTCTGAGTTTGAAACGTGCTTTTATGCCGAAGTGTACGGAGCGTCGTACCTTGCCGTGGATGCGTCTGCCGTGCCAGGCACTGTGCTGCACGCCCGTGACTTCTCCATTTTAGCGTTTAAAATAAGCCTGCAAGAGAAATGTGGCGGTTCCGTTTTACTGGGGAGGAAAAGCAGGACCAGAGAGGTGGGGTGACTTCTCCAAACTCACAGAGCCAAACCCCACCCGAGCCCAGAGCCGCGCGCGGCCGACGCCGTGTCTCCAGCCTCTTCATTTAGGGTCAGATGGAAAGAGCAGATGGTGTCAAGTGTCCAACAATAAGAGCAATGAGGACATCCGTGCCGGAGGCAGGAGGACTGGCTCCGCTTCCCGCCTCTTCTTTCCAGCCTTTTCTGCCTTTGGCAGACACCCCCCCCCCTTCCCCCGCCACGTTTCCTCCTTGATCCTGTTCGAAACCTCTTCCCTGGTGAAGTCATTAAGTCCCGGGCTTTCATTTCACTTCGGTCCATAATTTCGATGGAACCACATGTGCCGATGTGATGGGAATGTTATGGAATTCTCTGGACAGCAGGAGAATTGTGGGGGGTGGTTGAGTGTGTTTGTTTGAAATGGAAAGACCAGGTGTGGGGGCGAGAGATAATGGACAAAAAATAGAATTTTTTTTTTTTAAAGCGAAGACTAAACCTACACTTACGGAAAAGAGTTCTCTTCCCATGAGAGCCTCTCAAAGTATTTTACCATTGCCACATACAGAGGTTATTCTCAGACTGATGAGCTGGGACCATCGGGAAGCCAACCGGACTGGCCAGGCTAGCAGAACCACGTCCCCAGCACGGCGCTTCCGTGCCGGCTCTGATGCTGGGTCCGTGCAGCCAGGGGCACAGCCAGTAGACAGAGTGATTCTGTGAAGATAAGTTATCGCAGGTGAGGAGCCAGAAGGAGACAGGCCAGCGCACCTGAAGATCGGAGGCGATTCGGACGCTGTTCCGGACCGTAAATTCCACCTCCGTTCTCCTCAAACTCAAATTAGAGCTAAATTAGAGCATTCGTTCTCGGGGTTATTGGCCGGTGCCTCAGGATTTTCTTGTTTTTCTCGGCTTTTCACTTCCACATGCAGCCCTCAGGTAGTGACAATCTAATGCAAAAAACAGAGGTTTTAATAGATTTTCATCATTTGGACGCTACTGTCCTTCCCCGCTGATGGAAAGGCAGTTCCTGTAAACATTCTCATTTCAACAGGACCTCATTATGTGTCATGTGCAACAGGCAGGAACAATCGTATCTGATATTTTAGGTTTATTTGCCTGAACATAATAGGGGATCATTTTTCTTTTCAGACTGGAATGATGAGTCTTCCCTAAACTAAAGGAAAATCTCCAAGCCCGAGGAAGCTTCGGTGTTTGATGTACAGCATGTATTTCTTTAAACTACCTCCTTAATGTTTAGGTTTTAATTTTTAAAATGCATGCAGGTTTGTATACAAACCTACAGACAGAGGATGAATGTTTAATAATTGATCGTATATGTTATTCATAGGCCATGTTTGGCTGTCAAAAGGAAGTGATTTTAATTCATAATATTGTGTCACGTTCTTCCCCACCAGGAGGCCAGTCACGCAAGCTTGGCCATCCACACATCTTTGCAGATTCACAAATCCAGAATGGAACGTTTTTCAGAGCAGCCTACCTTGCTTCGTTGAGGAGGGTAGATTAGTATTGAAACATCCAGAAAGGGCCACTTGCCTTTTCAGAGTCCATTTTCCTGTTTTTGAAGGACAGATGAAAACAGATAGATGCAAACCAAACAGATGTTTATGCAATATCTCTCACTTCACTAAGTCCTTCAACCCCTCACTGAGTGCCATTTGCTCTTATTTTAGGTATAATCTAAACCTAGGAAGAAATCAGAAGAGCTTACGTGACCACAGGGAGTTTAAAAACTTAATAGCAGCAAGAAGAGACAGTAAAACAATTATATGGCCAAGTAAAGGCTGCTTAACAGAGGATAGCTCTTCTCACAGATTTTAGACTTCTGAGCTTTCAAAATTATCAAACTCTAAGACAAAAGAAAGGCCAAGTCATTTGTGTGACAGCAAACTACCCCCACACACCAGCAGCCCCAAGAGACAGGTGTGCCCTAGCATTGCCTGGTCGGTGTGACCAGCTGCACACCTGCGGAAAGATTCACCTACACACCATACCACACACCAACTGTCACAACGTCGGAGGGCATCCGACACATGATTTAGGAATATTTATCCAAATGCATGTACAGAGGTATTCTGGAGGCTTGCACAAGCCAACCCAAGTTATCTGGAAAGCGACATTTTTTGGTGACAGCTTGATCCTTCATAAAGGGAGGGTGGGGGGCAGATGAGGATTCTCCCCCTATCTTCTCGGAAATGCAATTCTGGAGTTCTTTCATCTTCCTGGGATTCTTGCTGCCTTCTGGGTCTTTCATGTGTAAACACTTACATGTGCTAAGGGCTGGTGGGGGAGGACGGGGAGCACCCTTTGCTGGTGACTCATGTGCCCTATGGAAGTCCCCTGAGCAAATGAGCTACTCTGGATGAGCCTAAAGAGTTAACGCGCTTCCCAAAGCCTCCGATTTATTATTCCAGAAGACTAATTTACTCACTAGAAGGATCTGGGTGACTGCGAACACATTGGTAGCCTTACAAAGATCAGTCCTATTTTAAGATTAAAAGTACAAAGCAAGAGCTGGAAAGTCATTAAAAGCTGACAGTCGGTTTTCCGTTTTCGAGAGTATTCATTAAAAGGTTCCTGTTGCACAAGGAACAAGAAATAGCTCGGGATCGTGGCGCCGTGAACCGTGTCGGGCGGGGGAGGTGTGTGGGGGATGGAGCATCACTAGCCGGTGCTGGGGGAGTTAGGTGACAAGGGACGTGTTTCCCAGCCTCTCCCCTCTCCATGCGTACGCTGCAGGGCCGAAGGCCCTGGCGGGCCCCAGAGGAAGTGAGCTCATGTTCTGCTGCACGAAGCTGAGTCACGTGGCCGGGCACGGCACAGCTGTTCCCTGCTCCGCCGCTGCACCCCTCTCTGCGCCGCCCCCGGGGTCACTAGAGAGGGTTTCCTGGACTCTCTCCCCGTCACGGGTTACGAAAAGCATAAGCGAGTCTAAGAAGCGGCCAGCTGTCTCTGGCACACTTTCCTCCCAGCAGCGACGACGTGAGCAGAGTGCGGTGCAGGTGTGGGGTCCGGGCCGGGTGCCGGAAGGACCCCAGGTGCACCTGTGTGCCCTGCGGAGCTCGCCGCCCTCCCTTCCTGCCTCGCGTTGGCAGCTTAGCCCTGCCCCCATCACCTTTCCACAGGTGTCCTTCTCCGCCTCAGAGCCGTAAAGTAGCTTTTGCAAATCGCCATCATCGAGTTTGACGCTGGAGGTTTGCAGCCTGTGTTTTAAAAAGTCACGGAATGGATAACTGAAGAGTTAATACCGTGGTCAGGACATTGTGGCGTTTGGTAAAAACAAAAAACAAAACAAAATAAGAAACACGAGTTGTCGCCATGCCTTCTGTGATTTTCCGAACTTTGCATATTGTTTTAAATACAAAGAGTTGTTCCACGTGAAGCAGGCTCTGGGAGGGGGTGCAGCCGGGAGGCGGGCGGGGGATGCAGCTCGTGGTGTGGGACGCGGGCTGGCCGAGGGGTCCATCTCCCCGCACCAGACATCACAGCTTTAAGTAACTACAATGTACGACCAAGATTTCCAGAGCCCGGTTAGCTCAGAACCCATCGTAACAAATTATCTTTAGCATCTCACCGAGGCACCTTTTCTCACAGTCAAGTTTGGTTTGCTGAGCTACATGAAAAGGGCGGGTCACAAACTTTGATTCTCACACTGATATCAGGAAAATAACATGAATCCTTCGTCCCCACTGGGTCGGAACCAAGCCCACGCCGAGCGGCTTTCATTTTCTGTGGACGGACTCACATTTGTGTATGGACGTCAAGTGAGATGTCACACAGCCTCAGCTACCCCACAACCCAGCGTCAGTGGGCTGGCGTAGATGCAGTGAACCCTAGGGGATGTCTGAATGGAGTTCCCCAAAATCCTGGCAGGGTACCCCAAAAGTTATCTACATGCTACCTCTGTGGCCACAGAGGTTCGATCTCTCTCTCTCTCACACACACACACACAGACACACACAGACACACACAGACACACACACACACACACAATCTCGTTCCTGGACTTTCCCATAGGCTACTTTGAGAAAAGCTTTCAGCGGCACCTACATCCCGCACCAAATGCGGAATCACCTGATGTGTCTTTTAACCTCGTGGACAGCGGTGCGAGCTGCGTTATTTTTCAAACGCCACACTCGAAAAGCCCTTGAATACAAATATGCTTAGAAAAACAAGTTTTAAGTTATTTAAAAGGAGAATGAGGCTACATGTCTTATCCCGCCTTTCACCAAAGGTTACATTTTCTCGGTCTCAGGCTGCATCTAAGGGAGGTGGAAAAGAATACACTGTTTTGTTTCGTTTTGTTTTGTTTTCTGAGTAATGGAGCTACGGTTTCGCCTGCCTTTTCAGGACACAGTACCTTCCTTGCTTCTGGTAGACAGGCCTGGGACTGGACGACTAAAATTGCTCTCTCCTGAGGCCACGGATATCATCGACTTAACTTATTCTCTTTGCGGGTTTGTAAAAATCGCCAGCTTTTCCGCCTCAGCAAAACCTCTGCTGCCTAAATTACAGAGCAAAGTTATCCATCCATTGCTGGAAGATGGCCACGACTAGAGAGAAAAAGAACCAAGCGTGGAACTTCTTACCTAATTTCCACTTGGGGTGCTGGGATTTAAATACACACACAAATGCGTAATCGGATAAGAGTGGTGGTGGCCTTTCATCAAATGCCGAGATGCTGGCGTTAGGACGGGACTCGGCGATCTCCAGTCCAGTGGCCTCTCAGAGACGATGGGATTGGGGCACACGTAGCCATCAATTTGCAAATGACCCTCCAGTCCTCCAATCTGTGCCGTGATTCACAGCTAGTCCCGGCGTCAGAAGCAACTGCACAAACACGTGCAAGAAGAAATCACACGCGGGCTGCACGCTCTCCTCTCGCTCTTCCTGTCCGTAGACGGAGTAATTCGATCGGCCGTCACCTTTCATCCTCGTACCAGTCTCGCAGAAAGGGAAGGAGGTGGAGAAAAGGGAAAGAAATAAACAAAACTGATGGGCTTTCTTCCCAGAAAGATCTTCGTTAATCCCAGCTTTATAAAGTTTTGCTTTATTCCATGGCAACCTGGGCATACACATGGCCCCTGGATGCTTCGGGAGCTGGGAGCAGGTGAGGTCTGTGCCAGGCCTGTCGCGGGGCCTGGCGAGCCCCAGCATTACAGTGCTGTGCGTCTGTTATTCCGTCTATGTCTTGGCCTTGGCGTTGAGACCGAGAAGGATCTTCCTAAAACCAACCACTGAGACAGAGCAGACGCTGCTCAGGCAGCTTCCAGCGCTGTTTGGGAGAAAGTGGAAAGGAATTTGGAGAATTCGTGTTATGTTCAAAAGCAGGACGGATGCCATTAATTGCATGCGATAGTGGAAAACTCATAAAAGATAGAAATGCGTGTGCTTATTTCCAAAGTCGACCTCGTATATTTTTTTGTGTTAAGGTTTTTGGGGGCAAGAAGAAACCATCGTTTTGAATATATAGGCTTCCGCTTGCCTTCTGTTACTTGTAATTGTGTTTTACCTATTTTTTTTTTTAATTCAGAATCTTCAAGAAATAAATGGAAAGTTTTCTCAGGTTTTTCATTTTTGAAAAGAGAATTGAAAGCGGGTGGCTTGCGTCTGTTAACAGAGAGGGCCCAGGTCATTCTCGCCCTCCCGCCCATCCTGACGTGCTGGCCGAGTCAGGGCGATGCGTCTGCTGTTCAGTCTCGCCGTCTCTTTCAGAGTGCGAACGTTCTTCCTTTCTAAGTCATCTTCCCAACACGCACGTGCGAGTCTGTGTGCGTGCGTGTGTAGCTCGCAAAGACTCTAAACAGGTATATTTCTGCTTAATCTGTCTGGAACTTTCTAATCTGTCTGGAACTTTCCTTTCAAATCACTACAGAGTCACACGATTCTCTCCAAACTATACATGAAAGAGGAAGAAAAACCAGAATTTATTTTAGAAAGATGCACTCAGCACATTTAGGTTCTATCTTATTCGAAGATGTTCCAGAATGTAGCTTATATCTTTAAGGACAATGAACACAGTTTTCTGGACGAGGCGAGGGAAAATATTCCGTAACTTAGCAACGTAAACAGAATGCGGCCGACGCGGCAGCCTTGGATCAGAAAGCGGCAGAGAGAAGTCAGTGGCGGGACACCTCCCGTGCTCTGCAGGCGGCAGCCCCGTCAGCTCTCTCTCCAGAAGGTGCACCACAGAAACACGTGTGCGTGACCGAAAATCCCTGGCCAGAACTGCAGCTCTCACTGCAAGTGACCCGCAGGAAAGGGGAAAGTTTATACTTCCTAAAGTTCAAAGGCAACCTCAACGCTCATTGCCATAGCATCGGTTAAGTGTCCTGGTTATTTCCAGCAACGCAATTTGGGACTTTCTTCTTCAAGGAGCTCTGCAGACTTTTGCATGTACAACGTACAGTGGATTTTAGAACTTTATCTGGGGCGTCGCGGCACGGTGGGAAAGGCACATCCGTCAGAGTCAGGCGAATGAGGCTCAAACCCCAGCGCTCCCACCGCCCCGTGTGGGGTTCCAGTAGGTTCCTGAAGCTGTCTGCACCTGCGTTTTCTTGTGGAGACCGAGGAGCTGGTGACGGGACTTACCTCAGAGGGCTGAGGTGTGGACGAGGTTCGCTAGTGGCTGTGACATGGGGCGGAGCGTGGCCCATGGTGTGCTGGCTGCTGTCATTATTATCCCGGGCATGGTTTCTTTCTTTTTTTTTTTTTTTAAGGAGGTGACTCTTCCTTGCAAAGGCACCAACCACACAGGACACTTTCACACCAGCTCATTGATCCGCTAATCGTGTGCCCTAGTAGGACCGGGCACGGCCGTGCAATCATTTCGTGACTTCTGGCTGTACCACAGTCCCTGGCTTCGCTGTCTTTGGATAAAAACCGACAGACGCTTTTGATAATCTTCTGTTTTGTCTCCTTTTCTGTCCCTTAAAGAGAGCCCTTTAAGGAAGAGCGACAGCTACTTGAAGGTGTCAGAAGTCTTGTGATATCTCCACGGGATCCTGTTTTCCTTCCTTGTGTATCGTCCAGCTGCTGAAATGCTGTCAACAAAGGACTTCCTTGATTACTGCCTGTTTGAGGCACGTGACTGCAGTTCAGTTCCTGACAGTCCACCTGAAATTTCTCATGTGAACGTCTCATTACTTTTAGACAAGAAACACTCGGGCCGTGCTGTGTCTCGTCATCCTGGGCGGCCACGCCCTCAGCCAGTCACCTGACCAGTTTCCATCCCTCCCCTCCCCACCCCCTCCACGATGCAAACACCAGCTTCTCAGTCTTGTCTCTGTAATTTAACCATTTAATTACCTAGGACCTTTCCAAATACTGAAGGACGTACCTCAATTCAGACGTGTCCAGGGGTGAGCGAAGGGGGTGGGTGAAGCTGGGGGCCGCGTGGTCCGATGGTCGAGTCGCCACCTGACTGGCGAGTCCTGCCAACCAGCCGTGCGGCCCCCGCAGCTCACCTCTCGGCCTGAAACAGGCGTTAGTGCTGTTCGAGGGGGATTTTCGGTGAGAATAAAATCAAAGACTCACTGAAAGACGTTCGCGGGGTATGTGGGCGAGGCGCGGTCACCGTGGGTGCTGGGGGCCGCGTGGTCCGATGGTCGAGTCGCCACCTGACTGGCGAGTCCTGCCAACCAGCCGTGCGGCCCCCGCAGCTCACCTCTCGGCCTGAAACAGGCGTTAGTGCTGTTCGAGGGGGATTTTCGGTGAGAATAAAATCAAAGACTCACTGAAAGACGTTCGCAGGGTATGTGGGCGAGGCGCGGTCACCGTGGGCGAGGCGCGGTCACCGTGATCCAAGGCCCTGCCCGGCGCGGACACCGCGACGTCAGGAGCACGTTGTCGCAAGCTCCCGGCCCACGACGGCGCGTGGGCTCACAGCTCGTATGTGGCCTGCAGGGAAATGAAATGTGTATTATTTCATAAAGTTCAGCGTGAACTCTGTTTTGAATTTACATTCCGTGTTGGCTCTTAGCTGCTGTTCAGAGCATCTCTACCTACTTGACCGCGCTTCTCCCCATGAGGGGACCAGGGGACAGAGGCGAAGCGCTGCCTGCAGCCCTCCGATCTCGTTCTGTTCTCTCGCCGCCCTGGTAATGACACAAGGACATCCACACCTGTGTCAGGGTTGCTTTCCCCGCCTGTAAGATGTTATCAGCTCTGTAGATATAGAAAAAGCCAATAGGCTATTTACTCTGTCACTTAGTCAAGCAATTAAACACAGTTTCCTCGTGAGACTGCGGCTGTGCGATCTCTACGAGACATAAGTTTTCGGCAAATTATAATTAAAATCCTGCTTACGTCTCTTTCTCTCAAGAACTGAAATAATCATTTCTTCGATTTGGTTAAAAGGGCCACCCCTCCCACCTAGGGTGGAAAGGCAGGCACAGGGCAGCCATACTTTCGACGTGGCCTAGAGCTTACAGTGGAGGCACCTTGCGCGGTGGCCTGGGGATCCCCAGTGGCTGTCTCGTTCACACCCTCTCGTTCTCTTCGGAGTACGCGGCCACGTTCTGTTATTTCTGCAGTGCTGTGGCTCGTTGTAAGGTATAGGCCATTAAATCAGGCAGAAAACAAAGAGGCTAGCTCCCCGCCCTGCCCAGCTGCTCTGAGTCATGCTGAAAACATCTCAGTATATCTGTTTGGACAAAGAGTCCGCATCCAGAGCCACGATAAACTTCTGGGAGGACCACACGTTCGTTCGCTAGGAGATCCCATTTTGATTCCCCTCCTGGCTGATCCGTGGCTTCGTGATTTTGTAGTCTTGCTACATTCACACCCTGGCTGTCTCCAGAGTAGACCCGGAGGTCGGCAGGCACCATGTCATCAGATAGAGCCCTGGCTCACAGCCCTCATCCGGTTAGTGTATACAAGATAGAAACAGAAAGTGTAAGAAATGACCTCACAGTCCTTCACTCAATGTGAAAGCTCACTCAAAGTCTCTGCAGAATTATTTCTGAGACTAAGATAGACGGTTTAAAGATATCTCATCATTTTAAACATCATCTTGCCTGTTTCCCAAATGCCTGATGCTTTTACCTAGGATGTATGGTATTGATAAAGAATATCTAATATTTAGGAATGCGTATTTTCTTATCATAAACTACTGCTCCTACAAACTGACCTGGTCACAGAAGTCGAAAGAAATTCGTGATCATAATTTGGAAGCCGATTAGATGGCGGCATCACGATTCTTTTTTCTTGAGGTGGCTGAGGACTCGATGGCTCACCTATCATTCTAATTACTAAATAAAGAGTTTTCTTTGGAAAGCTATTTCAACAAAGAACATTTTCATCCAGAATTTGACCCTTGAGATTGTAAGGTATTTTAGAAATCTACTTTAGACATCTTCGATGCAGGCTCCTACCAAAACAGTCACATTAATGGAAAATTGATACAAAAACATCAAGAAAACATGTCACACTACTAGCAAAATAACTTCGTCACCCTCTTTTTAATTAATTTATTTCTACTAGCAAAATAACTTCGTCACCCTCTTTTTAATTTATTTATTTATTATTATTGCTTATGCCTACAGCACCTGGTCTTCCCAGGTGGTCTCCCATCCAAGTACTGACCAGGCCCGACCCTGCTTAGCTTCCAAGATCAGACATCGGGCTTGTTCAGGGTGGCATGGCCGTAGACCAGGGACCGTGGGTCCCCTGGGGTGTGAACCCAGGACCTTCTGCGTGTAAAGCAGACGGGCTCACCGCTGCTCTATGGAACCACGTCCGCCCTCTTAAAACTTTTAAGGAACATTTTTGTAAGTGGCTGAATAGAAGGCCAAGTAAATAGGTAGCTGGAAGCAGCATCGAGCTGTCAGAGCAGGGTCACGTGCTTGTGGCCTGCAGCCCTCTAGGGCTAGGAGCAAATGGACACAGTAGAGGCAGAGTGAAAAGAAACCGGTGTGTTCAATAACGTCGCCAACCAGAGGACACCGTCCGTGACGACCCGGGCTTCGGTCACCTCTGCACCTCATCCTCCTCTTGCGATGATCGAAGCCCCCGGCCCCTCGGACCTGCAGCCGGGGTCGTCCTGCTGGCCCTTCCTGTGGGGGTCATTTTGTCGAGGGAGCTGCACACGTGAAGACAGAAGTCCTTGTCTTCGGGTTTTTATACGCGCAGCGGTTGATGTGGGGTTTCAGACCTAGCAACAACAATAACACAAACAAACACGCAAACAAACAAACAAAAAAAAAACATGTATTTCGGAACAGATCAGTCAGTCCGAAGCTTTCCTCAGATCTGGTCACACTCACATCCCAGCGGATACACAGCCGTGTCCCTCCCAGATCTTGGGGACACATCTTCTTGGACCCGATGACCGTGGGCCACCTGGAGCTCGGGTCCCTCCGACGCGGACGCTGCAGCAGGCAGAGCGGCCGCAGCAGTGAGGACACATAATCAGGGGACGCGTGTCCCGGCACAGCGCAGTCTTCTCTGGCACGCTCCGGGCTGCACGATGTACTCTGGGGCTGGAACGCTTTCTTTCTTTCATTCGGTTTGTAAATAGGATCGTACAAAAATCCATGCAAATCAACTCTCCAGATCAGAATTTGCTGAGCTGAAAAAGACCCTTAAATTAGATGGGCTGGCTTTCAGCGGGGGGCGGGGGGGCGGTAATGTAACTGCAGAACTGTGCCTTAAAAAAAAAAAGACAAATGAGCACATTGCAGGATAATTTCCATTCGACTGGAGATGTCCAAGCCTGTTTATTACTTCGGTTGATTGTCCTTGCCCACTTGTCCAGCCAGCCTAGCGCTTACACATCAGTAATCGGTGACAAAGGGGACATTTGATATGAAAACATCTCCTTTAAGGTCGATGAAACTTAAAACTGTTTATCGTGACGTTCCGTTAGCGTTATTTCATCAGCCGGAAGTGTATTCAAACCCGAGCTGTTTGTGAGCTTGAATTACTTTTTCGCGTGGCATCCCTTGCTCAAATTCTGAATTGAAATATGATTCCTGTAATTGGATAAATCGAGAGAAATGGAGACAAATGTTCGCTATCCTTAAAACTCAAGAAAGACTCGTAAGTTGCATGGATGTAAGGAGCCGTAACACGGGGCTCGGAACCCGGCGAACGCTGGTCCCTGGGTCAGAGAGGACCCTAGTACGCGCTGTTCAGCAGATCGTGTTAAGACTATGAAATTCTGTTACCGGGTGGTTAGAACCGGCGGCAACGCGGACACCCGAACTTGAACCGCGTAAGCCTCAGTGCACTGTGGGCGCTGCGTTTTCTGATGTTGGTCTTGTCGTTTACACAGAAAGTGAAAATTTGTCTTCTGTATTTTTTAACTCTGGCAGTGATGAAAATACACGTTGGGGCGTGTGTGCCCCCTTTGGCGTGCCCTGCCTTGCTCCTAGCCTATATAGTCCAGCGAGATTACGATGTAATTAAGGGACAGGAATGTCGGCTTCCGCGTGGCCCTGACCCAGGGTAACCCAGGCGAGGGCAGGGTACAGACCGAACGCTCCAGCCCTGCCTGGGAGCCGGAAAAGGGGCAAGAGCAGGGACTTCAGGTCCCTCTGGGAGAGTGGACACTTCTGGGAGGCCACAGAGACCCCTTGGGGCTAGAGTTGGTGACTTGCTCATGAAAGACACCTTGGACAGGTGCTTTGCCAGAAGCAGCTTCAGCTTTCCTTTTAAACCAGGGCAGCAACAGAGAGCTGGACGTTGTCCCCTGGGCTGGGACTGCAGCCTGGGCTCTGACGCCATCCGGCTCCGCCGTGTTTGGCCAGCAAAGCTTCGCGCGGTTGTCACGTTTCATCAGTCAGACGCTATCGGAGCCCGCTGACGACACTGTGGGTGTGGAGGGGTGGAGGCGGGCGGGCGCCCAAGCTGGCTCTCGTGGGGTAAAGTACACGGTGGCCTGGCTCTCCCGCCTGGGCAGAGGCACGGTCTGGAATAGGCTGATAGGTTCCACATGGCTTTCTAGAAATGCTGGAGTGTTTACCCTTTTCTCCTTCGCGATGCAGTCCAGGCCCTGGACGTCCTGTCGCGTGTGGCATGTGGGGAAGGGAACGCAGAGAAGCAGGGTGACAGCTGAGGGGACCAAGGGCGTGAGGGCAAGTGAGGACCCTGCCCGCCATGCTCCGCATCTTCCCTAAGGCCCACAGCAGTCCAGAGCGGTCCCCCTTTCCAGCTGTCCCGTGAGGCGCCCCACCGTCTCCCGAGGTGCCACGTGCATTTTGAAAGACCCTTTTTCACTTTAGTTTTCACATTACTGAAGAGTATCCTACGAAGCGCCCAGAAGCTTCCTCCTCCCTGTGATCCTGCACCCCGAGGAGACCTGTCTTGACACACTGTTGGTGTCTTTCCACACCTGGAGAGCATTTTGCTATGTGCCCACCAGTCTGGGGACCACTTCCGTCACGTTAGGTGACCGCCGTGGAGGTCCTCTCTCCAGCGGAGCAGCACAGAGGCGGGGGCAGCCGTGGGCCACACTGGAACTCTGGGCCCCAGAGCCTCTCTCTGTCACCTGCGCCTTCTCCACAGAGAAGTCAGCTGAGCTGGGAGACTGTGCAGGATGACGCAGGGACAGACTGAGGTGGAAGACTGGACGCCAACATCCAGGACCGGGCGTAGAAAACGCACCCACGGGTGGGGCGACAGGTGGAGAGGTGAGGAAGATCACCAAGGTGGGGACAGGGCAGGGACCGCCACGTCGGGACAGTGACAGGCAGACAAGGAAGCAGACGCTCTGAAGCTTGGCTGAGCAGGGCAAAGGTAGACAGGGTCCAAAAGCAGAGGGACTGGTGAAGGGTGGAGAGACCTGGTTAGGTGCGGAAAATGATTCAAAAAAATGAACTAAGATGTTCAGTTTGTATATTGCACGTTTTCCCCCCAAAGCTGTGTTCTTCCCATTGTCCTTCCTCCTCCTAGCGCCGGGATTCCGCCAGAGACAGGCCTTGGATCCTGTCTGCATTTAAGTTTCAGATTTGGTTTAGATGCACATGACCGTATTATTTTTTTTTTTTAAAACGAGGTTGCACTAAATATTACTATCCTGATTACGGAGCTTTCTGGGCCCCCTTAGATGTTACCCAAGAGGAGCAGGTGCTGCTTGCTTCCTACCTTTCATCACTGACCTGGCACCGTCAAACCCCAGGAGAGAACAAAGACAGACGCCCCACAGTGGCTGAGGGAGCAGCCCCAGCCCCCGCCCAGCAGAGCCGGCAGCGTTGAGGCTGTGGCCAGAGTGAGCACTGATACCCTGCGAGGGTTCTTTCTGTATTCCGTCCATGCGTCCTGCGTCGGATATGTGGTGTGCAAATATTTACTCCCATCTGTAGCTGGTCTTTTAACCCTTTGACCACAGTCTTTTGCTGAACAAAATGTTTTGATCGTGAAGTCCACATCGTCCGCTTTTTTTCTCTCTTATAGATTGCGCTTTCGGTGTCACGTCTAGGAACTCGATACCGAAGTCTAAATCCTGACGGTTTTCTCTTGTCTCATCTTCTCAGAGTTCTATAGTTTCGTGTTTTAGACGCATGGTCCATTTGGAGCTGCTATTTGCATAATGTGAGGTTTAGGTCAACGTTTACTTGTCTGGCCTCTGACGTCCAGTTGCCTCATCTGATTTCAAAACTCGGTCAGGAGCTCGTGCTCCTTTTTGTTTTGTTTTCAATAAGTGCCAGTCACTGCAACGTGGACTGGTGGGGACAAATGTGCAACATTCCTCCCCGTTGCACTATGACCTAAGGGTGACCCAGTGACATGGATAGTTATCTGGAAGTTGGGGTGCCGGTGGTGATTTTCAGCTCCTCACCCCTTAATAGCTACACACTTACAAACACGCCCTGCAGACAGTGTGTGTCAAAGTATGAAAGGTCAGCCCTGCGTGTTAAACGCTCGAAAAGCCACGTTTCCGTCCAATAGTTTTACAGGTGGAGTTTTTCTTCATGTAAAGCCACAGCTAATCGATTAGAACCGAAAGCGTTTTGAAACGTGCTTCTGGCCCAGCCCCCTGCAGGTAGGGAGTGGACGCAATCAACAGGGCGCTTATCAGTCGCAGCCTCTTGGCAGCCGAGGAAAGGTTATCTTTTGACGTAGTGTGGGCCAGGGACATGTACCCGGCGCACTCGATTCTGGGGACAGTCTCCTGCCTCGTCCACGGCA